GCTGCAGACGGAGGCAGAATGTGAAGCCTCAGAGTGTAAGCCATCCCCACAAGGAAGAATGTTCCCATGCCTGCCCAAATGTCAGACTATCTGTAGCTCTGAGGTTTCTTTGGCTTTGTACTCTTCCCACTTCCTTGGACTCCCCAGCAGGGAGCCAACCTCATAGCAGCTCACAGGTTGAAACGCATCATCGAGTGCATTTGTGCTTTTATTGTTGCCAGAAAGATGAATACAGATCGTTTCCCCTGATGCTCCTATGCCCCCAGCAGCCTATGCTAAATGCATTCACAACCTCCATACTCTCACAGATGTATCTCATAAGATATATCTCATAAGTGAGTGTTTTGAAGAGCCCTGGATGTTTCTTCCAAAGCTGTTTGACTAGCAAGCCATGAAGCGTGCTGGCCAAGATGTGCTTGGGAGCTGAACTCCAAAACACTGGGGAAGCAAGGCTGATATTCATGTGAGGTCTCCAATTTAACCCATTTCCATGACCAGTGCAGCTGTCCCTTCACAAGCTGGAAGGTGGAGAGGACCAGGTTTTCCCATCAGCAGTGCAAGCAACACACCAGTGCGGAACATTCTGGGTTCGGGAGTCCTGTTGGGTGTGGGCTCTGGGAGGAGCACCTGCCCTGTAAGATATAGAAAAACATCCAAGGCTACCTCAGAGCTCACTAGTTCCCCAAAGAAATGTGGCTGCAATTATTTTCAGTTCCAGAACCATTGAAGTAGTGGAGAGGAAATGACTGCTTGAATGGATCTCCCTTTTGGAAGGATGCCATTTGCTTCTGAGGAACAGGACTCACAAGGCTGCTTCCAAGGACTGCCCTTGCCCATGAGTCCTGTGGATTTCACCTTGAAAGCATTGTTCGCTTTAATCAGAACTGCTACGATCAGACAGACATGCTAGGAATGAGCCCTTGCTCAGGAAGAGTATGTGGTTACCTCCAGTCTTACTCCTTTCTGGTGTTTGTATATTAATCTCCCCTGACCTGGTGTCCTCCAATTTTTGGACTGCATTTTCCAACAGCCTTAACCTGCACTACTCGGCCTCTGCTAGCTGGAGATGATGCAAGTTGTAGTTCAACGCATCTGGAGGGCACCGGATTGGGAATGGCTGGTCTCTAGGCCATAGCCCTCTATCCCTTCAGCGTGAGGACCCACACGTGTGTCTGTGTGTGTGAGAGTGATTTGGTTTATTTGTGCCTATTTGGTTTATTTTATTTAGCATGTATTTAGATAATGGCAATGTTGCTGTGATGACCTCGCTTTGGTCAAGCTTTTAATCTAGTAGGCAATGCAACCCACCAGTTGAAATCCAAAGATCTATGATATAATTAGGTACAGCAAGATGGGGTGTTATGGCCAGTCAGGGTGTTGAAATGTGGGGGATTCAAACAGTGTTTTTTTAGGAGAGTTTTATATCCCACTGTGGGCAGTTCAGTATTTCTACTGCATTTTTGTACATTTGAACTCCGCCCATGTGGGATAACTTAAATGTTATTCCAGTCACTCAGAAGCTACTCTCAGAAAGGCAGTTCCCACATTGCTAGGGTGTAGATAAGACTTCACCATGTTCCCTTAAAGTGTTCTTTGAAATCTCTTTTCTCTCTGCAAATGCAAACAGTACGAGCTTTCTCCTGAGCAGGAGTACTGAAATATAATTCATTTACTGATGCTATGAGAAGGAGATGCTCTACAAACAGCAAATAATTGCATACTATTGCCAGAAGAAGAGCACCGTGCAATTCAAGGCAGGTTGCCTCAGGCTGAAGTTTTGCATTCGTACAACTTGAAAAAAAGTCATTCTTGGGGGTTTTCTTGGCTAGAGAAGCTGTTTTGTTTTGTTTTGTTTGCCTTTGCTTGCAGCACATAGCTTGGTTCTCATGCATGAACCATTTGTTTCTATTTCCTGTGTGGATTTGGTTTTTTTTTATTGCTGTGCACCTGTTCCCTTTGGGGCCTTCTGTGGTCTGGAGTGGGCATGCTGATCATTGTGGACAGCTGAGCATATTATCCAACATTTGGGCAGGAAGCTGAATCTGTTGACATTTACTTCTTTTGTTCTTTGGATAGTATCTTTAAAACCTGAATTCATTGATTGCAACTATGCAATTTGCATAACATCTGGTTTGATATATCCAGGGTATATGGAAAGAGGAAGATTCTTGGTCCACAGTTCTATTGTTGTTATAGGGTGAACTGGCACCCTGGCAATGACAAAATGTTATAAATTACAAGGTCACTCCAGCAGGCATCTGGTCCCAAGGTCTTGAGAGTCATCCTCCTTGCTTTTGTCATGCAGTCTGGGGAGATACCAGAAATTATGGCCTCAAGGAGGCCAAAGATAATGTAATGACTGGGTAATGATGGACACCTGGAGTAGATGGTGAGCCCCATGGACTGGGAGATGGGCCATCACCCCATGGGACAGCTGACCAATGGTGGGCAGGGTGGGGGGATAAAGGCCGGGGAGCAGAGAGGCTCTTTGTTCCTCTTTTGGGGTTCCATGTTGTTGCCTGTGTCAAAGAACACTGTGAAGTGTTCTGCGCACTGTGCCTTGCTCAAAGGTTGAGTCTTTGTGTCTACCTAAGGCTAGGGTGAGCCTTGCTATTTTCTTGTCTGAGTGAACCAACAAGGCCTTGAGTTTTGGGGTGCTTGATTGGCTGTAAAATGTATTTTGCTGCTGCCCAACTCCCCGCTCCTTTCCCACACCTTTCCCTGTTTTATTCCTTTTTGCAAGTATGTTTGTAGTACTCTCCACCCCTGTGTTTTATCCTCCTAAATAAACTTGTTTTTTCCCCAGCTTGGGTTGTCATCCAGTATCTGGTCCAGATTGCCTGGGAGTAAGGAGTTGCTGGGTAGATTTTGCCCAGTTGGCTAAGGGAACGGAGAATTCCTGACAGCTTTCTGTTACAGTTGACTGTGTTATTATTAAATGTGTGTTTTCCTCTTTCACCTTTCCCTGAACTGAGATAAACTGCTAAAATTAATCGCACCATAATTTAACACTGAGGATGTGATATTTTGCTGCTCTGGGTCATAAACCAAACTGAAACTGCTCACGACAGAAAGATGATTTAACACAGAAAATAAATGCTTGCAGAGAGAATATCAGACATAGTCCATTCTTGGCCAGTACATTCTTCATGCTGTCATTCATGAAAATTATTTTAAACATTCAGAAGATTATGAAGATTTTTAGACAAGACATTTATTCAGTAATCACAATTCCTCGTTCAATTACATTTTACAGGAAGATCACACAATATTATAGCCCACTTGTATCCCCCTCCCATGTTTTCCCAGTGCTGCATCCATCCTTTTTTCTTACAACAGAAAGTCCAACTTTGCTGGAAAGGATGGAAGAATAATGTGGATTCCTCAGGTGTAGATGCCTGCAGGTGTACTCTTTCATCTCCTCGGTGATGGATTCGACTTGGCAGTAATCTACAGGACATGTAAACTTACCATCACTTAGCATGCAATCTGCAAAACCTTTCCATTGGACACCATTTTATCACTTTCTAAAAACCCATCTTATATGAAGATCTGATACCTAAAATCATGATGCTGGCTCCCAAAACTCTGGGCACACCCTGAGCTGTTCCTCCCACAAGTCCCATAAATGTTAGCCCGCCGACATTTGTGATGACCAGAGATTGACAGGTTTTTGCCTCTGAAACCATGTTTTAACTGGGCAAGCACTTGGGCCTGTCTGAAGAGGTACACAGTCAAGGACCCCAGTACCCTGTTCAACCTCTAGGGGAAAGCTGGGGCTCATCTATTCATTTTCAGGACACTTGGACTGCTGTCCAAGGGGGTAGCACAGTGGAGACAAGCTCTGGCTGTCTCCCCAAGTTTAGACTAGGTAAGATGAGGAAGTCATCTCTACAAACCTGCTTTCCTTAAACTATTCTCTGAAAGCTCTTTTCTTCCTGCTGAATACAAACAGTACAGGTATTCTCCTGGACAGGAGTACTGAAATATAATTCATTTAATTCTGGCATGAAAAGGGAAGAATCTTGAAAAGATCAACATCTTCACATTCTGCAAACACCAAATAATTACATACTATTGCCAGATGAAGGGCACACTGGAGCACATTAGACGTGCAGCACAACATGCACAAATTCAAGCACTCCTCTAGTTACCACACTATGTCAGTTTTCCTCAACTCGGAGCCCTCCAGACATTTTCCATCTCAATTTCTGCTTGCCCCACCCAGCCTGGCCACTGGCCAGAATGTTGGGAGCTGTAGTCCAAGACATCCAGAGAGCACCAGGCTACAGAAGGCCGGTTGCTATGTCAACAGATGATCTTTGCCACATATGCCATTTCCTCCACTTCGAGCTTAGGAGGTGGGCTCAGCTCGTCATGCCTGCCAACAATGCGGGGAGATGCTTGATGTAGTGAGTGTGGTGAGCACATTCGTGGATTTAATTTTAGAACTGATTCTTCCCAATTGCTTAACTGAAAGATCAAGCAGACAAACCTCCTTCACAGTAAATCATAATGCATGAAATGAAAAAGGAAATAGTGCCAGAGAGGTGTCTCTGGTTCCATCCAAATGTGGTGAATCACTCTCTGTAATTCCCTAACAAGAATAGGGAATGCAGTCTCAGCATGAAAGCAATGATTACCTTAATCTATGTGGTCTCCACTGCCATTGAGGTAAACATGCTCTACCGAAACCTCCATGTTTAGCCCTTGCCCACCACTCCTGGAGAAACTGGCAACTATTTCATTATTGCACAAGCCTGAAGGAGGCAGCAGTGGCAGTCAAAGGGCTTCCCATGTAGCTCCCTCAGAGGGGTGGTTCCAACTGACACAAGGCTGATTCCTAGAACTAAGTGTCAAGAAGGGACAGGGCACCCTGTCTGATGTGCACTGTGTTCTGCCCACCAGTCAACGCAGCCACCTACACGGCTGAACAAAAGCAGCCATTTTGGCAAGGAAAGTGAAGGCTGCAACCCAAAATGCAGAGGACTAGTAAACATCTACAAGAACGTCACATCCTCTTGAGACTGAACCCACTGCCAATGGGCATCATACTCCAGGTGCCTCTGGACATTGAATTTGCAGTTATCCGTGTCAGCTTTGTTATTCCGAGAGGCATTTGTGGCCAGACTACCTTTGCTCAAGCATTCTGTGGCTGTGGAGGGAAATTTAGCCTCTGTGCTCTGCTCCAGTCCAAGAACTTGTCTACTCAAAAGCCCATTGGCCATCGGTGGTGACAGCCTGCTAGCTCTGTTTTGCTCAGTGGAACTTTGGCTCTTAACCAAACTAGAGACCCTCTCTAGATATGCTTTGCTCCTGTCCTGCTCTCTATCGTTTTTGGCAGGGAGGCCCCTGTCTACGTCAGTCTTTGATCTTTCCAACTCAACTCTGGCCAGTGGCCTGCCCGCGGTGGATGCCATGATGGGCTCTACAGAAGAACCTTGCCCATATTCATCCATATCATCAGCCAGGGTGTCCAAATAGCTGCCCACAGAGATGCTGTCCAACTTGTCATTGGGATCCTGAAGACTGTTCCAGCTGCCCCGCCGGGATGTCTCTAGGCTCTCTGCCAGGCTATACTGGCTGCTGGTAAGGCTGCTGCAATGGCTGGTCAGCATCCCCTTCTCTTCTAGTAGCCACTTCACGGCCTCTATTCCCTCATTCACAGCAACCAGTTGCTGTAGAATTTTGATATCGATTGCTCTTAAATAAGCCTGTAGGTGAAGAGAGAAAATGCAATTTAGGTGTCAGGATCATCATTAGCTACAGGAGAGATTAACCAGAGAAACGTCTGGATGGTGAACCAGGAGTATCTCTATGAGTACACAACACAATGGCCAAATGCTTCTCAACAGGACGCCAAAAACACTCCAGTATTGTAAACAGAAATAATGGTGCTAACAATATTAACGAAGAAAATTGATCCTTGGCATTTGACTGCTTTCTGCAGATTCCAGGACACCGTCATACACTAGGTGTGTGGCCCCATTCCTTCCCAAGACCCCTAGGCCAGGATGGTGTCCTCAGCTAGTCTTCTCCCCCTCCTTCCAACTAATGACTTTATGATGTTAGTCATAGTGCTGACCAGCAAGACTGGCTTTATAATGCAAAAAAGATGGTTGCAGAAGTCAATAACAAAAGATACAAGCAAAATTAGGCTAGTTGCCACCAGGAAAATGCAGTTTAATTATACAAAGTTGATTCCAAACTGAATACTCCTCCCTTCCAAACTACAAAGCACTTACTCCACCTTCCAGGTAGATCATGCTGCTTCTGGGTCAACCACCTGAAACATCAGACATTTCTCCATTGGCCCACTCTCTTAACTATTTGCATGGACCAGTGAGGTTAAGTCCTCATGCCCATCTTGGCTTCCCTGCTGGAATTTCCCACTGAGCTTGAAACTGTCTGGTTTTCAGTTACTCCCACTCTTATCTCTGGGTCAATTGCACTTGGCATTTCAGGTCTAAATTCCAACTCCACTTTCTCCTTCTCCTTTGAAGGCTGTATTGTAGGAGGAGAAGGCCCAGTCCCTCAAACTGGATTGTTCATGACCCTCACTCTAGTTCACATGGAGCATCCCCTGGAGGGAAAGACTCAACAACTGGCAAATTGATAATGGCAGAAGTAGCATACATTTTAGTTCAACCTAGAAAGAGGAGGAAACAAGCAGGAGTTAGATTATGGAAAGAGGAAATCATGGCTATCATGAATGTAAGTGAGAAACTATTGTCATTAGTAACTTGTCTTGCTCTCTATCTTGAGCTGAACCAGAGTCCATGTTCCCCATCCTCTGAAATAATTGACCCAGAAAGCCATATTGGCAATTTGTCTCAAGTCAGCTTCTTAGTCTATCTCTGCCCATTTTGAGGTCAACCTTTCATGTACCTGATGCATGGCCAGTGTTCATGAAAGCTTATGCCAGAATAAATTTGTTAGCCTTTAAGATGGTGCAAGAATCTTTCTTGTTTTTGCTGTAACAAACTAACACTGCTGTCCTTCTTCTAATTTAGTTCTGTATTATCACATGTCCATAAATTTCCCTTGGAAATTGCTTTCTCCTTGGTGGTTCCCCTTCTTGGGACCCAAAGCTTTATATTTATGTAAACTTCCCTACGTTTTCCTTTTGCCCTTCACTCCTACTTGCCCTTTTTCTACAGTCGCCAGTTGAATTACTCCCTGTGTCCTCGCTATGTCATCCTTAAACCCTTCAGCCACTTCATCATGTTCAAGGGAAGAAGATATGCATGTTGCAGTTGCAGGACACATGTAGGGATGACTGGAAGCCAGTATGGAGCCACCAAACTGATTACATGAAACAGATGCTCCTTGTAGGATGAAGCCTGGAATGTATTTTCCATTTGACCAATGCAAGCACAGGCTCCTCTCACCTGTCAAATGTAATCTGTGTACTTCTCACCTTATTCCACTTAAGTTATTACAAAAAGGCAACAGAATCCTACTGCCACTAAACTGTTTGCAAGCAGGGTGGTATAGGAAATGGCCCAGTTTAAGAATTTTGAACAAACATCCACAAAAGCTATACCATTGTGAACTGTTCTATAGGGCTTTTAATAGAATACATTCAGATAATGTTTACATTCCACAGTGCAGCTGCTGGGTGATCTTGGTCCACAGGGTGCAGTGTTTTTCTCTTCCTTGTTGTACTAATGGGGTTAGGAAAAGGTAATGGCAATCTTAGACTGGGGGTCTCTAATTCCCCTAAAACATAGAGATAGACCTCATAAAGACAACCACTCTCTGCCTCCTGAATGAAATTCTAGACAACAAAATTTGCACTGTTGTAATTGCTTGGTTAACTGGAGCTTGATCATTCAACATCTTATCAATGCTATCACCTCTTTTGCTTGGATAGTGGAGTATCCTGCTTCTGTATTTGCATTTCCCAAAATGAGTGGGTCCAGTCTTCGCTAGAATCATGTTCCATCCCACTACACTGGCCTAGACCCCATCCCTTAGTCAAATTTACAGTCCAAGGCATAGAAATAGCATCAGATTCTGTACTGAATAGGTTATATTTCATTTAGTTCTTTGAATAATGTAACTGAAATGAAGGGGGGAAGAATATATGGATGCAGCTATATTCAACTAAATACAGGAATTAGACAAAATGAAATAATGTATCAGTACATTGACAAGATATTTCTGATTTTGACATAGTTCAAGTATGTGTGTTCCTGAACGGTGCAGTTTGCAGTTAAATCTTCTCACAGATATTTCTACATTAGCACCAACTAGCCATGGGAGGCTAACTTTAAATCCTTGCATGAAACATTTTTCTGTAACTGCTTTCCATTTAGATCTTTCTGTGTTCACCATGCCCAGTTTTCCTTCCATACAGTTACATGATGAAGATGGGAGGATGCTGTGTACTGACCAGCTAGAGGCAAGCATCTCCTAACACAGAGCACAATCCAGCATGCTTTGGTTTTAAAAGAACTGCTTGGCTATATGAATTAGTCTCCAGGTTTTATGTATAGAGGATCAGAGCTGACAAGGCATTCACAGTTGTCCAATGTGTTTGCTGTGTACATTGTGTACAGCACAGTGCTACAAGATGCAGTCCCAAAAGGCAGAAGAGAAGTAAGGATTCTGAAAGTCTAGCAAGGCAACTTTGATTTATTAGAGCTGATTCAAAGACTCTGTGTTGAGAAATGATTCCAGCTGGACAAGATGTCATTGACCTAGTTTATGAGCCATGTGAGCACCATGGACAGGGGGGAACTATTCCAACAAGGCACGGGTAATAGTGAAAATAATTAGAAGAAACACCTTTGCCTATGAAGTGCACCAGCAAAGTCAAGGCCATGGAAAGTCAGAACACTGGAAGCCATCACCTAAGGGCATTTTGACTGCTGCAGGCACATCAATGATATACCATCACTTCTCAATCAGACACAGAAAATGTGGACCTGGACCCACATCTGTAAACACCTGTGTTTATCACTGCATGTAATGTTCAAATGTTGTATGTTTACTGCAGAAAACACTACTGAGGAATCAGTGTTTTCTGTAGGAGGTGTCACTTTGAGAATTCCTCCAAGAGGTATGCATAAAATCTACATCTTCCTTCTGTCAATGTGGAGAATAAAGTAAGTAACAAAACTGGTATCACTGATAAACATTATTCCAACATATTCTATGGAAAACAAGTGGCAAACCAGCTCTGCCCTCTGTTGCAAATTACTCTCTCTTTCTCTCTCCCTCTCTCCACACACACACACACACACACATGTGCATGAACACACCCACACATATCTATATAAAATTCCACATTACCAAACTCTGTCCATCACAGAATTAAACCTCATTTTCCAAAAGGAATGTTGGTTGTGATAAATAGTTGGACACTTTGATGGAAACAGTGAATACATTCACACCTGCTCTTTTTTCCCTTTGATGATTCTGTACATTTAGTTTAGGGTTCCACATACCATGACACTACATCACTGCTTGGAGTGTCAGTGAAATATTGGCACACCAGCCAATTTGGGCATCCATTGCAGTTGGGTGACTTGACCTCATAAAGGGGAAGTGTGAATGAACAGATGTGCCCAAGGAAACACTTGTCCAGGAAGCATTCAAAAAACAAAATCAGGAAAAGACCAAAGAACAAATGGTTGGTTTGCAGGACATAGATCCTATTGCACAAAGCTGAAGTTCTATTTTTGAATAAAAGCAAATAAACAGTCAGCAGGTGTTCTTTAAAGAGAGAAGACTGCTTTGTAGGAGTAGTTCCCAATGCACGGAAGGAATGCCTTCTGTCGGAATCAGACAGATAGCTTGCTGCAAGGTTGAGGACTGGCTTCAGAACTATTCTCCTGAGTTTCCACTTCCATTGTTCATTCTATTTTTCAAAGCATGTTAAGAAAATATGATGCAGATAGAATCTACATGTCTGGGCTGTGCTTAGATTGAATTGCTTTGGTTGCAGTGCAGACTTTTAGGGAATCACACTGAAGATCCTGGTGTGTGCAGATTGTGTGTGTGTGTGTGTGTGTGTGTGTGTGTGTTCCAAATCTATAAAATGTGTCCATGGGAGCTAGAAACAGCTATAGTGTTACTCTTAGGCATGCATCTATAATAATACTATTTATACATATTTTTCAGGATTAAGGACAGTGGGCAAAGCAGCAGGAACAAAGTTCAAGAAGCAAAGTCTGCAGAGCTAAAAATGTATTTTCAGCTTTTTAAAAGTCAGTGGTACTCATTTCCTTGTGAAATGGTTAGATATGGCTCAAAAGACTAGAGTTGACATATCTGATTGATATGCATCTATAGCTGTTAAAACTGAAGCCAGTTTTAGCAACCATTTGGATGCAAAGTAGCTGTTTCAGAATGCTGAAAGTACTGGGTTCTTTTGCTTTCTCATATACCAGCCATACAGAGAGTATAATGCTAGCGAAATATGATTTCTAATATATGTGCTGATGTGGATTATTATTGCCATTGTCGTCATTATCTTTATCATTTCATGTTTTTGGACCTCAAGGAGCAAACAATCTAAAACAAAATGCAATGAACTATACAATGAACTATACAGGTTAAAATGATATAACCTGTATATATATCAGAGAGAGAGAGAGAGAGAGAGAGAGAGAGAGAGAGAGAGAGAGAGAGAGAGAGAGAGAGAGAGAGAGAGAGAAGCAGCAGCAGCAGCAGCAGCAGCAAAGATTTCCTGAAAAAAGAGATTTTCACTGCCCACTGAAAGAAACCCCCCAGGTGTACCCTCTTCCAGAAAGAGGAAGGTACCAAAACATGAAAGGCCTTGCTTCTCATGTCCACTCATCTAACTTCAGAAGGCAGAGGGATATGGAATCTGGCCTCAGACCTGAAACTGACTAGAATGCATTGGTAGGAACATACGAGCTGAGACATCTCTTAGGCCTTGAAAGAGGGACTGAACAATATCTTCATCAGTAGTCCACATGTGCTAGAAGAATATGACCAATATATCTATACATCACCCTCTTATGGGTACATCTGCTGCTCAGCATAAGAAAGGTGTTCTCTCTGCAAAGGCTCCCAACTGTTTTCATCCCAACTTAGGGTGCAATCCAGTGCATGTGTAGACAAAAAAAGTCCTACAACTTCCAACATTCCCCATGCTAACTGGGAGTCGCATGACTTTTTTTTTTTTTTAACATGCATAGTATTATTCCCTTAATAACTTTTCGCTAATTCCAAAAGGAATCTGCAAAGGCTGGTGAACACATTGCAGGCTTGTTTTTATATTACTGGGTAGAATATAAAACCACAATAACCTGTGTGCCAAGGCCTCCAAGGGAATTCCTTTGGTCTTGTGCTCTGGCAAACTCCATGCAGACAAATATGGGCTGGGTGGGTTCACACTTCACAATAAACAACCCTGCATGGTTCATGGTTTCTTCACCTCAAATTACTTGGCAGGTGATCAGGGCCTTTCCGATAATTCTCCTCCTTCCTGATACCTCCTCAGTCTTCCAGGTAATAACCCAGAGACAGCACGGGTGAAGCACCTGTTTCTGGCAGCCGAGGTCACAAGCTCACCACAGCTGTCAAACAGTCTCTGTGCAGGATGCAGGGCTTGTGCCCTGAAGTGCAGCAGACAGGATGAGGGAGCTGATCAGGCGCACACCCCTCCTGCTCCGGAGCAGACTGCTGATCCATGCCCAGGCAAAAGGGAAGGGTGCGCTGGGCAGTGCTGTGGAAAGGAGCAGTGACACTCAGCTGATCCCCCCTCGGCTCCCTCCACAAGCCTGCGAGGGAAGCTGCTCACATGCATGAGCAGGAGGAGCGAGAATCAGCCCGGCAGGCAGCAGCACTGCTCAGCTGATTTCCTGCTCATTTCCTTCTCTCACTCCTGCTTGCCAGAGAGGCACGTCCAACCCAGCACTTTTCTTGCAAGTGGCAGCAGCAAAGGCAGAGGCAGTGCCTGCCCCCTTCTTGCTCCTGTTTGCCAGAGAGATCTCCCCAACGCACCTGAGCACCATTCCTCAAGCAGCAGCATTGAAGAAAGAGGCAGTGCATTCCTCTTTCTCACTTCTGCTTGTCAGAGATGAAGCCCTTTTGGTGATTGGGAACAAGAATGGGGGGGTGGCAGGAGAATCAGTCCCCTGGGGGACCCAGGAGCAGCACCTCCCAGCTGATTCTTGCAATACACTCATGAATGCATAACTGAGAGCAGCAGCAGAATCAGCTGAGTGATGCTGCTCCTTTCCTGATCTTTCAGGCACAGGTGGGCAGGACAGAGGTGTCTCTACAGGCACTCAAAGTGGCAGCTACCTGTGGCTCTCTCTGGCTAGCCACTCTGGCCAAGCAGCTCTCTGGTTCTGGCCTGGGTACTATGCTGAGCTGATTGTGGATGGTGGTTTCCAAAGATTAAAGTGCTGTGCTGATACACCTTAGTGGGGTTTGGATGACATGGCAGACCAGCAACAGTAAAAGCCTACAGTGCCATTCCATGTTGTGCCAACCTGCCTCTATCTATCCTTCTATGATCATGCAGAAGGCCAGGGGAACTTCACAAGTACCCAGGTCTGTCTACTTATCTACTGCAAATTAGGGTGCTCAGGGGACTGGTTAGCATGTAAGGAATGTGATAGATCACAATTTCTTTGCTTTCTATCATGCATGCTTCTGATCCAGACTATTTGAATCACCAGCGATACAATACTGTTGCAGGGTAACTGAGAAAAAGATGCTGAGATTTCATTTCTCGCTGTCTCTCAGGGACTCTGCAGTGGCACTGTTTGGGCAGAAGGCACTTGAAAGGCAGTGTTTAATATTAATCAGTGATTAATAGAGATCTTGGAGCACAATTTCTTGTTTAACCTGAGTCTCAACTTTCTGCAGGATTAAGAAGGATCAAGGAGCAACCCCAGAGTGTTCCAAGGGGAGTGCAATCCCATCCAGAACAGACAGTTGACCTACCTCTTGGATCCTGGATCTCCTCACCCCAGGGCCTCCATCCTGTCAGGGTTTGCTCTCATTTTATTGGCCCTCACCCAGCCCCAAATTATATCCAGACATTGACCTAGAACCTTCACAGTCACAGATGACACAAGAATAGACCTGGGCATCATCAGCATAGTTGCCCCAAATGCCCTAAGGGCTACACTCAACAGTAGCATATCAGTCAGGCATGCTGAAACCCTTTCAGCCAAAGGGCTGAATTCTAGCTCAGAGAAGCTTTTTTTTTTTGGGGGGGGGGGGTTGCACATTCCAGAGGCAGCAGGACAGAATGCAAAAACAGGCAGGGCCAAAATACCAAAACCAGACCAACAAGAGGATGCCTATTTTAGCTTAACGCTCTTATGGATAGTGACTAATCCTTAGGAGAGGCAGATGTGGGGTGGGGGGAATGCACCAAAGCCAAACCATCAATGGTCAGAAAAGTAGGGAGGAACAAGGCAAGGGGGCAGGGCTTTCAGGGGAACCCTAGAAGGCAGATTTGGCTCATGGGGCTGAGGTTCCCCACCCCGACCTAGATGCTAAATAGCCCTGGGGATAAAATACACCATGTGCCCCAGCACAAAGCACTGCTGCTGGGTGACAAGAACGAGTCCCTCACTGCCACGCATGCACAAGGCTAGGCCCAAGCATGTGACTCACCATTTGGAAAACAGCCTCCTAAATTAGCCCTGTGCACACTGCTGTGAGCTCACGAACCCCAACTGTTTTCCTTCTACATTGTTCCGCTTCCCTTGTAAATAAAGGTCAGCATTTGAATCAAAGCATATGATGCATGTGGCTGAAGCCAGCCTTCAAACCCTCCAGTCCTTCTATACACTCAGGGTCCTTAAGAGCGTCTTTCTCATGCTGGAGAACAGATGCCTCCGTTAAGCCATGTGCCAACCAATGTGTGGGGGACAAGGCTGCCTATACTATTTTCTGCCTGCAGAAACAATCTAAAGATAAACCAGTTTTCTCACTGCTCTCTGGATTGGCGTGGATTCCTGGGAAATTACCATCTGAATGCCAAGTTTCAGTTGAAAAATAATAAAAGGCTTGGGGGAATTTGAGTGTCAATATCAACAGTGTGGATTGCTGCTTATGGCCCATTGTTTATTACATGTTTTTCACATTCACAGGCCATATGGACAAGGTTGCTCATTTTCTGATTTGAATATCAACTGAAGGAATCACGGATAGAATCCTGGAACTGAAAGTTACCTGGAGGCTTTCTAGATGCAAACCTGGTATGGCAATATTTCTGCTTTTATTCAAAATTCTCAACAGGATAATCCCTACTGAGAAGTGAGTCCCAGGCAAGTGAGTAGAGGAGCGCAGCCTCAGTCATGTCCGGCTTCAAGTGCACAAAGCGAGAAGCAAAGACCAAGCACGAGTACCCTATGAGAGAGACCTACCAGAAAAAAACGTTTTGTAAAACAAATACAAATACATCTGATAAGCAAGTGAACTTCCCCAATGCTGAGTCACCAAGTTACCTAACTTGGGGGTGGTGGGGAGGAAGCAATTCTTCTCAGATTGCCTCAAATGGCAGTGCTTCAGGTGGCAATCCTATACACGGATCCTTACCAAGGATTACGCCCCACTGAAAAAATGAGATTTCCTTCTGAGTAAATATGCACAGGCTTGCTCTGAGGATGAGTCTGCAAACAACATTCAGCATTTATACAGCAGTGTTCAAAGCAATGCATAGACATGAGTTCAGTAACCTTTGCAACAATCCTGCAAGGTAGGCTATTATTAGCCCCAGTTGCAGGTGAGGGGCTGAGGTTGCTTGCCTAAGGCTATCTAATGAGCCATGACAGAGTCACGCTAAACATGACCCATGATCACACACACTTACGGCCAGAATGCTTATTCCAAAGTAAGTTTCACAGCATTCAGTGGGATCTATTCCCAGGTAATTGGGTTCAGGGCTGAAGTCTTAGCTCTTTAGCACCAGTCCACCAGCAAATACTATATCCCTTCCCATCTGATTAATCAATGGAAAGTGGAGAGTGGGGGTTCTGTGGGGAAGGGGAGACATTCCATTTATTGGAATTATACATCTGCTCCATAACCAATCCTCTGGGCAGATTGTTTCCTTCTGCTGCCAGCTAGAACTGAGGTCCAAATCTGCACAATCACATATGGTATGAGTGGAACCATGAAGCAACCAGCATGCTCCAAAGTCATCCTAAGAAAGGTTCAGTTGCAGCAGCAGGTACCCATCCCACAGCTGCCAAGTATAGGAGGATCAGCTTGCAAGAAGCCCTGTAGGGCTGGCTTACCATATTTCAAGAAAGTGCAGCCATGAGCATTAGCATCTAAAGGGTGCAATCCATTGCAAAAGGGTGTGATCCTATGCAAGTCTGGACAGGAAAAAAGGCCTACGGTTCCCAACATATCCCAGGCAACATGCTGGGAGCTACAGGCCTTTTCTTCTGCCCAAACTTGCATAGGATTGTGCTTTAACACTATGACTTCCAAACGCTAAAATTACTTGCACCAAAGCAGCTGTTGGGATAGTAAGGAATCGTTACTCCCAGCAAAAGAGCAGGCGTGCTTCCACACGCGAGGAAGCAGTTTCCCTCACACACGCCAGAAACCCCCACCCCAGATAAAAAAACATGCGAGGGGAGGGGTCTTGGGCAACCGGGGGGCTCGAGTGGTTTGGATCCTGCACTCACCAGTTCCACCTTCAGAGTCTTGATCTTCTCCCCCAGTCCGTGGCTCCACCCCCGGCTCGGGCTGCTCCGGAGCAGATGAGCAACCGGGTCCTCCCGCAGCCAACGTAGCAGCCCGTCTGGGGGTCTCTGCCCTACTTTGCTCTCCAGATCCTTTAGGTCAGGGGGCAGGGAGAGCTCAGCGCCTCTCCCGGGCGGGACCTCCATTCCCCACCCCGGGGTAACCGTGGGGGACGGAAAGAGGAGACAGGATGTCTCTGCCTGGGGTGGGCGACGCCTGGAGGAGAAGGGAGGGGCGCCTCTGCCCCGTCGCCCCAAAGTCAACCCGGACAGGCTCTAGACGCCCCGCCGGCGACGCCTCCTCGCCTGTACAGCTGAAGACGAGGCCTGGAATAGGATCGCCCCACCGCACCCGAAAGAATCGGGGAGGGGAGTCCAGTAGGCAACAGTCCGGAATATCAGCGCGCCGAAGGTCTGGCATGGACGTCAGCGAGCGTCCTGGCTCTGAACTCGCCCCACTCGGTCACCCTGCCGATCCCCCGCCCTTGCTCTTCTCCTGGTCTTGGGTCCATTTGCTGCCCGTTATAAAGCAAACCCCTCGGCTTCCCACCCCCAAAGGAGGTGGCGGAGGGCAAGAGCCGTCCTTGGGTTCTCCTTCCTCCTTCCAGGATCTTCTCGGGGCGGCATCCAGCCCTGGATGGGATGACAGCTCTCCGAGGAGGACGCGCCCGCGTTCCCCCCGCCAAAGTTGCCACCGAAGCGTCCACGCAACAGCGGCGGGAGGGCGAGGAAGCTGGCTGCGTGGCGAGCTTACGCCTGCTCCAGGCAGCCCGCCCAGATCGGGTCGGAGCCCTCCGACAAAGACAGACTCGCAGACTTTCCAGCCACGGGCGAGGCGGCGGCGGCGGCTGCCCCAACCTCTCCCACCTGCCCGGGATAGGAAAGCACAATGCAGAGAAAGCAACCGCTACTAGGCGAGCCCGGCAGCTACCGTAACGCTCCTCGGAGAAGCGCGGCCCCTGTTACCTTATTTCCCGAGCAGAGAGCATTGCAAATTAAGTCAACCCACAAACTGAATCCATGATGGGCAGTTTGGCTGGCCAGTCATCCAAGGATGACTCTGAAAACCAGAGGCGGAGTTAGAGGGTGCTCATTAGGGCTGGAGCCCCGAATCTTGGAGAGACCATCTGCCCCACCACCTATGGGCACTTGCTGAACCTGTTGTCTATGGGAGCTTCACATCCCACTGGCCCCTCTTGAATCTTCTGCCTGCATTTCTGAAATCCCGTGTGTAAAGGTCCTTTGTTACAAATAGGGCCCTCCTCTGGAAACAGGGTTTTTTTAAGACACACAAAAAGACTTAAGAGTGTATGCAAACTGGCAAATGCTAATTTGTGCATCTTTTGGCCTGTGAGCCTGGTTCTGATCTTTTCAGTATCCTGCAATGCCCCTGCTGAAAGCTCAACAAAAAGCTTTGTAGTGTCTGAACAACTAGAGCATTGATTCTGGCAAAAGCTTTCTTGAGCACATTCTCTGCTTCATCAGATACGGAAAAGAAATGGAAGCTTAGTAGTTGATAAGGTGCCACAAACTGATTGGGTCACTGAGTGGGGCAATAAGAAAAATTCAGACTGGGGTGGGGGGTGGAGGAACCACCAGGTACCACTTGGAATGCATTCCCATCCATATGCTCAAGACACACTGCTCTATTTCTCCTTTTCATACCCATCAGGTAAGGCTGTGGAGGTGGTAAACTGGTGCCTGGCTACAAACAATGGACTGGATGAGGACTAACAAACTGAAGCTCAGTCCAGTGCGTGGTTCCCCTGACCAGATGGAGGGTGTTCAAGCTGTTCTCAATGGGGTTTAATCCCCCTTGAAGGAGCAGATTTACAGCTCAGGAGTCTTTCTTAAACCATTTTTGTCCCTTCAGGCTCAGTTGGCCTTCTATCAGCTTTGGCACCATTCTCTGATCAGGGATTGCCTGATTTCAGGAATGTATGATCTGGTGATCTCTAAATTAGATTACTCAATGCACATTATGTGGGGATACCCTTGAAAACTGTCCAGAGGCTGCAGCTTGTGCAAAATGCAGCCAGATTAAATAACTGGGATCAGATAGTCCAAGCATATAACACCAATTCTGGCCTGCAAGCATTGACTTTCTGTAAGCTTCCAAGCCTGGTTCAAAGTGCTGGTTGTAACCTGTTAGGCCCTATTTGCCTTAGTACCTTTTGGAGCACTTCTCCAAATCTAAATCAGGGGAAGGGCCATGCTTCAGTGCCAGAGCACCTGCTGTGCATACAGACGGTCCAAGGTTCAGTCCCCGGCATCTCTGGGTAGGGTTAGGAAAATATCTTCAACCTAGAACCTTGAGGAACTGCTGCCAGTCAGTGTTGACAAAACTGGGTTAGATGAACAAGTGGTCTGACTCAGTACATGGCAGGTTCCTCTTTTCAAAATCTATCTAAACACTGGGCTCAAGATCTGGGGCTTTCCCCCAAGTGCTACTTCCAAGAAAGGCTTGGATGGGAGCAGCAAGGAAGACGTTCCTAGTGACGGCACTTCACTGAGGCCTGCCTGGCACCAGGTTAATGCTCAGCAGCTCTATGCTGAGGCATTTGGTGGCATTGAATGGCTTACAGTAGGCTTATGGCAGGTCTCTTCCCTTTCTTCTTCTCTTTTAAAGGATCTAGCTATATTGAAGTTCTAGCTGTTCAAGTTCTTTTAAATTTTATATCGAAATTTTATGCTGATTTAATTGTATTTAATTGTTTTTAACTGCCTAGAGAGGTTTGGTTATTGGCCTGTATAGAAACAAATACATAAATAAATAGCAGGAACAACCAGATGAACATATAATCCAACAAGCAACAAGAGGCTTTTTCTATATAGTGACAGAAAGTCTTCATTCAAATCACGGTAATCTTGGATTTTGTGAGTGGCCTTGATGAGAATGTTGTGGTTTCTTCATTATCATTTTTCTCATGTGTTCCTTACACCTAAGGCTGTTTGAATTAATCATCCCTTAGCTGTCCTTAACGAACTAACGTACAGATCATTCAAATAAGCAGCTTCTTATAAGCAGCAGTTTGTTCATGCAAGTGAAGGATTCACGGGATTTACTGTTAGGGTAACATAGTTGAGCAGGGTACCTCAACTCTTAAAGATGTCACAAAAATTAATGGAGGGGTGTTCCTTCTCCATTCCCGCTGCCTCCATTGTTGCATCTCAGTGCTAGGAAAAGCTGTACTTACGGGATTCCTGCCTATTGTGCCTTTGTTGTACCTAAGATATTGGGGTCTTACTAGGAATAAAAGCAGCATTCATTCGACTTATGTTCAGATGTGATGGAGGTTCAGAATATTTGTTATGTGAACACACCTCTTAGCACTGCTAAAGCTCTACTTCCCCTTTTTCTAAATGAACCGTAATCTTACCAGGGGCTTCTCTCCTAGTTAGGGGATACTGTTATGCCACCAAGGGTTTTCCTTCCTTCTGGAAAATATTTCCACAGAGCTCTCTCAAACCTTAGCTGCACTCCCTCTTCCAGGAAAAGGCAGCTCCACTTTATTCCAATTGAATAGTCACCACTGGTTTCTTCTGGAATATGAGCAATATTCAGGAAGGACTGCCCTTTGCTAAGAATGAGCCAGGTCTCAGTTTGAGACAACAGTCGCAGAGCAGAAGCATAACCCCACTGCATCCATTCCATGCTTTTGTGAGGTTTTATCCATTCTCAGTTCTTACTCCAGAGGCAGATTTTGCTGTCTTGAGTTATATTGTGGGAGAGTGGCAGAAGGTATCTCTCGTATATTCATTTCTAACATGCCAGGCAAATACATGAATAAATGTGCACCCAACTGCTCAGCTCTCTCTGTAGCATGGGACAATCCACTGAACTCAGAAGAAAGCAGTGGCAAGGGCAGCTGATGAGGAAGGTAGCAAAGCTACACATCTCAGTACTCCTGGGAAAGAAGGCTTCAAAATGAGGGACTTTCGGGGCATAATGGCTCTGCAGATGATGTGGAGAGAGCTGTTTGACAGATCTATGAAGTGTGGCAGCACTTCTCAGACCAGCTAAACAGGCTGAACCAGTGTGGTATGGTGATTGCAGGCTCAGACTGGAGAGATCCTAGTTCAAGTCCCTACCTAGCCATGAAGCTCACTGAGTGATTTGGGCCGGTGGTTCAGTCTCAGTCTAATCCCAGCCTATTCCATAGGACTGCTCTGATGATAAAAGGGAGAGGAGGAGTAGCATCAGGTAGGCCCCTTGGAAGAAAAGCTGGGGTATAAATGTAACTAATAAAACTAATAAATATTGTATGCTTGGATTTTGTATATGAGAAGTTAGGGCTAGTAATGCTATTGACATTTATTACCTGGTTTATGATATGAACTAGGTCAGCTCAAAATGCTCACTGCCGTATAAACTTAATGCCATCTCCCTGCCATAGTTCTTCTTCAGCTCAGCAAGATCCAGGCTTACGCTGACAGCAAAGAGCTGTGAAATAACATAAACCGCAAAGCCAGCAACCAGAATAAGCTCACAAATTACTCAAGATGAAATCCTAGTTGATTGCTGGTGAACTATGTGACCAGGCACATGCCAAATCATCCTTTTGATTGGTGAACGTCTTATCTGTTTGAACCCATTCATTTGATTGTTTACTTGCCTTTTTATTTATTTTTATTTAAATGTGGATACTGTCCCCTGTCCAGATCTAAAACCTACTTGTGTTCCTGGTAAGTTTCATGATACAAGACCCTGACCCTTCTTGAACAAAGGAGAGCTGCAAGGATGGAGCTCACTGGGTCCCATAAGCCCCTCAGAAGTACTCTCCAAAGTATGGTTTCTATGGAGAAGGAGGCTAGCAGAGAGATCTTCCTCTCTGGACAAGGTAGATGTACCCCTTCTCAGACTCAAATAACTATCCATGAATAACCAACAGCCTCAAAGGGCCTTCCTGCACCCACCTTGTCCATGGGGCACAAGGAAGAGGCATTTAATCCCTGCCAGAGCTTGTATCCATGCGTGACAATGCAGCCCCTTTTAACTACCAAGCAGATTCCCTTTGGGAAAGGGGTTATTTACCCACTTGTCTAGTTCACTATTGCCTAGTGAGGCTAGGATCCAATGTCACCTTGAATTTTGTTTTATATGGAGCTCTCCAGAGTTCTGACCCAGCTATGCCACCTGCATCAAA